GTATATATATATATATATATATATACATACCCTTAGCCATACTGTTCCATTCCCCCTTTTCCTTTCCATTCCCCTTTTACCTTCCCCACTCTATTCCATTCCATTGATGCTAAGGAAAGAAGTATATAGCAAGTGCTCTGAGCCCACTTCAGATAAGATTCAGATATAGCACTTCTAGTTCAGGAGGCCTGCAAAAGGCAGTGGACAAACCTACTGAGGTCAAGAACCTCTTAGTGAAGGCTGGAATAAGCTCATGTATTTACGAATAGTTGGAAGCCAATATAATCACTTACAGTTATGCGTCTAAGGGAGCCTAAATATTCTCAAATAATGCAAATTAGCAAATGTATAAAAAGAAGTGAGAAACCTAACACTTTCTTTCTCTATGTGTGTGTGTGTGTCTCTCTCATATTTTAATTCTTGTTAAGTTTCCCTTTTTATCTTTCCTTTCATTAACATGTATAAAACACACACACACTAGTGTAACTTTGCTATATTCCTTTTGCTTTGCTTTGTTTAAATAACGAGGGCAATTATCAAAAGTTATTGCTTAGTTGTTGGATAAAACCTCCATAAACAAAAAGTTAAATATCCATTTCTTCCTTTATTCCCCCCCCCCAAAAAATAGCTGTATCTTGATTTTCTCTTTTTTTAACGTTTTTTGAAGAATCCGGCAGCACAGTGACTCCTCAGATATAACCACACTGCTCCACACTCCTGCTTAATCGTGAAAAAGAGCAAGATAAAGTAATTTCTATTAATTTGGACTGGAGGAGGCATGTTTACATTTTCCTATCAGTCCCAACCGCAACAGCTGCTTTGAGGTTCTGTTATCAAAATAATGGCTTCATTCCAGCATCTGCATTGTAGGCTCTTGAGCACTGAGAATCCTCCTACATATAATTATTTTCTCATTCTGTTCAACATCAAGAGCTTCCACTTAGACATCTGGTTCGTTGAAATCACCTTCTCTGATTCAATTGATGTGTGTGGTTTTTTAAAATAAACTTATCAAACTATAAAATAGGAATAAAAATGAAAACAGTGGAAAAAGAGGGGAAGAAAAAAGGGAAACAAAACGGCATAAAGCAAAAAGGAAAAAAGAAAGAAAAACATTGACTTTTGAGCACAGTAGCATAATTTAATAACAAAGCAGCCTCAGGTTTTTAATTTTATACATGCTTAACATGTGCTAACCAATAATTTTAACAACAAGTTCATCTAATCGACAAAACCCAAAGTCTCAACGTTTCATTTTTCTTTCTCTCCTTCAGCACAAAAATCTGGAAATGGTGCCTAAGTAGAAACAAAGATAGTTTCTTTTCTTTGAGTAAATCAGTTACCATATTTTTCGGAGTATAAGGCGCCTCAGAGTATAAGATGCACCATATTAGAAATTAAATGAAATTAGATCCTGGAAAAACTTTGCTGTTGGAATCTTTGGGGATTTTTTTCCCCCCATTATCTGCCCAATTCTGTAAACTAATTTTCTGTTTCACTGCTAGTTCAGGGCATCCCAGTATTATGCTTTTATATGCTGATGGAACTAAAATAAAGTGTGATTTGTCTTCCCATAGATTCATAATGACATTAAAATCTTTTGCGGACTCTTCAACAACCACACAAGAAAAAATCTTCATTGTGTTTTGGTGAGTGGCTCTGTGTTCTGTTTCCAAGCATTCTAAGTTTTAGAAAAAAAACCATTAAAAATGCTTTCTATTTTGCTTTGATGCAATGTATGACAGCGCTTCAACTATGGGGAACAAGGTCCTAAAGCAGAGGTGTAAAACTCAAGACCCTTGGGCCAGATCCAGTCCGCGGGATGCTTAGATTTGGCCCATGAGGCCACCCTGGAAACAATGAAGGACCAGTCTGTGTTGCCTCTGCCAGTGAAAATGGAGTTTGGAGAGGCCATGCGCGGCCCGCCCGGGCTCTGTTTTCAGAGCACTGCAGGAGGCCATCGTGGCCGAAAATGGGGCCTCAACAAGTGATGTTGAGCAAGCCACGCCCCCAGGCAGGCCCCCCCCCCTCCCCTGAGATCAAACGCAACCCTGATGCGGCCCTCAATCAAATCGAGTTTGACGCCTCTGTTCTAAAGAATTGCAGGTGTTTTATGTTCATTATAGCCGAGGTGGCGCAGTGGTTAGGGT